TGCTCAAGCTTGAGCTCTACCACCTTCGTTCTTCATAAGCTCGCTGTAGCAGAGTTTGATCTCAAGGGAGGCAGAGCTTGATGGACTGGAGTGCTCGAGGGGCTTGGAAGAGTCAACATGGAGGCAGTTCATCGCCTCCTTCCATCGTTGCCTACTCGCACTGCCTTGAGCACTAGATCTAGAAGAAGATAATCTATTGCAGAGGTGGATGAGAAGGAGAGGTGATCAACAATAGTGGAGGAGCTATAGCTCAAGCTCACCTCCACTGAGATCATGGGGCCACACCATGTAGATTAGAGGGAGTAAGGTGAGAGAGGAATAGGAAGAGAAAATAGCTAAAGTGCACTACAAGATAATTGACCTAACGTCACCAAATTATTACAACGAAAAATAATTCATGGCAATATATTATACTATTGCAATGATAATTTTTCAGTGGCAAATAACTATATTTTATTGCAACGATTTACATTCATTGTTTTATTCAATATTTTTGTTGCAATAGAAAAGAGCTATCGCCACAAATAACATTACTGTTGCAAAGGTATGTTCTATCGCCACAATTTTAATTTTTGTGACAATTTGCATAATACATTGTTGTGAAGTTACGTTTCACTATTTTTTGTTGCCACGAACAACAAATTTGTTGTAATGACATGAGATTCTTCTCTATCTCTCCCCCGCTTATGTGACATCTTTGTACAAGTGACCCAATATACCAAAACTAGGTTAAAACCAACGTGGTGCTAGGGTTGGGTGGAGGGGGGGGGGGTTAATTTGTCAATTCAACGGTAGAAAGTTGCATGATATTAGATATCCGGTTTCAGAGTTCGGAGTGCATTTTAAACAAACCTTGATGGGTGAAATCTTCTACTCAGAACTCTACAACATCACTGATTCACCAATGCCCCCCTTTAATAAAATATGGAGAGAACCAAGGGAATTTTTATAAAGCGGATGTGCCAAATTTTCATGTGCAGAATAATGATTTGCATGGAAATATCCAGGGATCCGATCTCCACCCCTAGCCCAGCGTTCGACTATGTTCATTGTATTTTACATGTTCATAATTATAGTGGGGACTCACTTTTTAAGTACATTTTGCAATCAATGTGATTAATTGCAGGGTCGGACATAGAATAAAAATTGACTGGGGGCATGCATAACTCATATTACAAGTTAATTAGAAAGCTAAGTGAAACTCACAGGCATGCATAACTCATATAACAAGTTAGCTAGAAAGCTAAGTGAAACTTCACCTCATAACAACTTATAAAAACTTTGAGATATTACATGATAAAAATCGTCCACTAACTCCCCTATCAGATCATGACAAGGATGATTAGATAGAGCATTGAACCTAGAGAGTCATCCTCATCACTTATTGACTACACGAGAGGGAGATATCATTATGTACCGAGGGAGATAGAGAGCAGCAGGCCCGACGTGCCACAACTTCTTCATGGGATGGAGTGCGCTGTGCGCAACAACGACGATGATGAGCGATCAAGGAAGTGGCGAAGGTGAAGTGCGGCCTGTGGAAGCACTACAGGTGGGGCGAGATGATGGGCTCCCTTGTCTTCCTGTTTTCTAATCCCTAGTTTGTGGATTTGCTAGTTGGGGGATCGATAGAAGGGGAACGGACGTTCGAAGCTTAAACGCGCACACATTTGCGTCACGGAAGGAGCGAAAAAAAGGGAGTGGGGTCCTTCTTTCCAATTAGAGTGGGGCCCATAGGTCATACAATTAGGGACATATCTAATGAGTGTAACTTTTTACTGGGGTCTAAGGCCCCAATTGGTTTGTACGTTAAATCCGCCCCTGATTAATTGTGTCATTTTCTCAAGACAAAAAAATAAAATGGCTAGTGCCGTCTTGAGCAATAGTACTCATAAAATGGACCACCCTTTGTACAGCTTAAACCTAGAGTACATGTATATGTATATACTACTCCCTCCATCCCAAAATATAACAATTTTTAGCCCTCAAGATTTGTCTCAAAATATAACATCTTCTCCACCAACATTTTCTTCCCAATCAATACAACTCTCCACCATTCACTTTTCCAACCTACCTCCACTACTCAACCAATCACAATCCTCCACCATTCACTTCTACCTACTTTCTTAATAACCGTGTCTAACTCTAAAAATGTTTATATTCTAGGAAGGAGGGAGTAGTATATGTAGATTATGCGATCTATTGACATGAGTGCTAAGCCTAACATGATCACCCTAATGCGGAATTCTTAGGTTACTGACCGTTGTTTGAAGCCATTGATGCGGTTCTCCCTGTTCTTGTCGGTGTAGAGGTAGTAGTGGTAGCAGTAGCAGCGTGAGCACTGGCTTGATCCCGAAGGGGTCGCCGGCGATCACTTGCGAGGTAGTGGTGGCCTTCCGGTCGCCACCTACACTGTCCCTGAACCACCACACGTTCTCCCTCCAGCGCTCAATTGATCGGATAGGGTTTTTTTTGGGATTTTCGGGGAGAAGAAGGTCGTGAAGAGATCGTCATCTCACCACGACATCGGCCTCCCCTATTAGTATGGCACTGAGGGAGATCGGGGGCAATCCAAAATATGAAAAGATTTGGCGCTACCGATCAATGCGCGTAATCACGTAATTATGGAAATTGAATCGCATTAATCCCGTAGGCACTGGGTGGAAAACGGCCATCCGAGATTTCCTCTCGATTTCCATGCCGAGAGATAAACTTTCCTAACAGTATGTAGGGCTTGTTTGGATTAGCTTCTAGCAACTACAACTTCTCACAAAATCTTTAACTCCTACAAATCATCACTCAGATTTTAAGAATTTGTGGTTGTAAAATTTAGAAAATAAACTAGAATCAAAAGCTAAAAATCTCAAGTTCTTTGGATTTTTAGACTACCAACTAACAATTCAAACTTAAACTCCCAAGCAGGGTCATATACTACTATATAGTATGCATTTGAGAGTAGCAGCACGCCGTAGGACCCAGCAGCAACTACCCATACATTGACATTAGAGTATTCGACAGCTTCCTAATTAGTATTTAATAACGTACGATGAAACAACGACCTGATTGTTTCTTGGAAATAATCGCTCTTTTTCTTGGTTGGCTTGGCTAGCTGTTTACCGCTCTCTCCGTCCTATTTTAAATGTAATTATAAGTTACCGTGTTCAATTTTAATCGTTTATTTTATTTAATTTTTTTATAATTAGTATTTTTGTTATTATGAGATGATAAAATATGAATAGTAATTTATACATGACTTATGTTTTTAATTTTTTTTAGAAAATTTTAATTAAGACAGACGGTTAAAGTTGTGTACGGAAAATCATAACTGTACTTAATTAAAATAGGACGGAGGAAGTAAAATTAATATATACATGAGGTCGTCCAAGCTAGCGACCGCTACCTTGTGATTGATTGACATGTAATACCAATTTATAGGTTATTTAACTAACTTATAATTAATGTTTATATTGAACATGTATATTACAACTTTACAACTCGTATCAACTTGGTCTCGCTGTTTCCACTAAAAAAATTTGAGCAGCACCGATAAGATGGTTGTGAATCTTTTCTCTAATTATCTGTGAGCTAAGCTTGATAGCTAGATAGCTAGATAGGACAACTCGTGATTATATAAAATTTCCATATGTTAGCGTGGACCTATAACCGTTCAATAAGCCACTTGTTTTACGTAATAAAAAACAAAAGCCACTTGTTCGATCCTCTTGTCGTGAATGCGTGCACAAAACTCGCCGGCTGCCTGGCACATTTTCACCCAGTTATAGTTATTATTGAGGACTAATTGAATGATTGTATTTTGCTATGGATAAAATAAATATTATAATATTATATAAAATAAATAAAACATATTTTTATGAAATGTATTGTCTATAAGTTTGTATAAGTTTATCGTAGTGAATGTTCACATTAATTTGATTTTATATGCCACTAATTTAATTGCTTTAATAATAAGAAGTTTAAAGGAATAATTTATAAAACTATAACAGGAGTGATCGAGTTGACAAATTCACTAATAACACTACTACCTTCTTCTAAAACAGTATAGATATTTATTTTCAAACTATGTACTAATCTGTAGCTATAGAGAGAGTGCATGCCTTTGATATATAAAAAGACCATTTCTTCCTCGTGTGTCTTACGAAGTGCAGCAGTTGAGTACTGTGAAGGTCGAGGCAAAGTTGATGTCCCGTTGTCCTGAAGATTGTCCCTTTAGCAAAATAGCAATCCAATCAGCGTTGTCTTGTTGTCAAGCAGACAAATTTAATCATGTGGACAAGAAGAAGAGATGGTGATGAACAATACGGTAGGCAGCCATCAGGAAAATTAATTTATTCGTCTTATATCAGAAAAAAAAAGTGAGAAAGATATCTGTGGAACAACGATGGTGAAGATAGCTCTCGGACTGATCGGTTAATTGATCGTTCAGGCTTTATTATTGGTATCTCTATTCCTAAAAAGATAGGATATATACTTAGGCTGCGTTCCTTACATTGGGTTGGGAACATTACCCCCAAGCACGAAAAACGGAGCAGTTCATTAGCACGTGATTAATTAAGTATTTGTTAATTTATTTTCAAAAATGGATTAATATAATTTTTTAAGCAACTTTCGTATAGAAACTTTTTATAAAAAACGCATCGTTTAGCCGTTTAAAAAACATGCGCGCGGAAAACGAGGACATGGGTTGGTAACCCCTTGAGCCGAACACAGCCTTACTAAGGAATTTAGTATTAATTATGTAAAGAGAAAAAAGGTTAATCGTTCAGGCTTTATTGTTGGTATCTCTATTTCTAAACCTAAAAAGATAGGATATATACTCGGGAAGGAATTTAGTGTCGTTTATATTAAAAAAAAGATATACACTTAGGAAGGAATTTAATATCAATTATTAAAAGAGGAAAAATGGTGAGAAAATTAGTGCTAAAGGAAATAGAAGATTGGCCAACTGGAGCACCTTGTAGTTCCCCACCATCAGACCACGATGTCATTACCGGTATTTATGGCGAAAGTGTATGTAAAACATGGCTAATGAATAAGAAATAATTCCTCCGATTCACGATGTAATACTTTATAGCATTGCCCAGATTCATTAACATCTATATGAATATAGACAATGCTAGAAAATCTTATAAATTACAATATGAAACGGAGGGAGTGCTACTTATTGTGCTTGCTCGGCGGCGTCGCCAGGTAGGGTTTACATTACCGGTTGATCACTAAATTTCGAGCCCCATTAGTATCACGGTTTTCAATAAATTTCGATCGGTTTTCGATAAATTTCAACTGAATCTACTGTTTAACCTTCGAAATTCCAATCGAAAGTTAATTCCGAGCCGTGTCGAAACGTTGAAATTTCACGGAATTCGACCGGTTTTCGTCGGAATTGACGCTAGGTCCGTTAATATAGAAGAATTTGCATGAATCAAATAGTTAAGAAAAAAAGGTTATTAATTTTGAATTTGCAAAAAGAAAAGTTCATGTACATGATCTTGAGGACACGCATCCCAAAATTCATGCGGTTTGAATCTAGTCTCACATTTCCGTGTTTCTTCCAAAACTGAATTCTTGTGTGCTGGGTAGGTTTTGAAATGGACTGAATTGTCTATACACGTAGCACGTAGCCATCAAACCTTCGTGGCCCGTACGTCTAGTATGCAATGAAAATGGTAACACGTATATATTTTTAACTCGTGGTTGAAATTTGCAAACCACGGCGGACACCATCAATCTTTTTCTCTTTTACCATTTTGCTTACGTGTCAGCGTGCATTGTGTATGCCTAACTACAAAACGACGAATTAAATCAAACAAAATTTGGACGAAAATGACAGCGCCACTATTTTTATTTACTACGACGCTTAGGTAAAATCAAACCGGTGGCAAAATACTTGTAGCAATTAATTACGCCAATGGCACAGTTTGCATATAAATTGCGAGACGAATCTTTTGAGCCTAATTACGTCATTATTTGACAATAAGATGCTACAGTAACCATTTGCTAATAACGGATTAATTAGGTCTAATAGATTTATCTCGCAGTTTACAGGCGAAATCTGTAATTTGTTTTGTTATTAGTTTACGTTTAATACTTTAAATGTGTGTCCGTATACGTTAAATTTTATTTTGCCAAAACAGCTACACAAATCAAACAAAATTTTGACGAAAATGACAGCGCCACTATTTTTATTTACCACGACGCTTGGGTAAAATCAAACCGGTGGCAAAATACTTGTACGAAGTAGCAATTAATTAAATCTGTCCCTGCCGCTTACTTAATAACTAAACGCTGCGATTTATGATTCCATGCGTGACGTCACGCCTTAGCCGCTCGCGCCTTCACCTCCTCCACGAACGCCTCCACGTGGCGGTCCGACGAGCCGCCGGCCGCCACGGCCGCCCGCGCGGCGGCGCTCCACGCTGCGGCGCTGGACCGCATCGCGCCGGCGTCGGGCCCCGCCACGGCGGCGTCGACGGCGTCGCGCACGGCGCCGCGCCGCAGCGGCGCGCGGAGGCGGACGCCCATCCCGAGCTCGTCGACGAGGAACATGGCGTCGGTGCACTGGTCCCCCCACTGCGGGAACGCCACCACCGGCACGCCGGCGGCGACCGTCTCCAGCGTCGAGTTCCAGCCGCAGTGCGTGAGGAAGCACGCCACGGCGGGGTGGACGAGCACTTGCTCCTGGGGGCTCCATGGCACCACCATGCCGCGGCCGGCGACGGCGTCGAGGAACCCCTCCGGCAGCAGCGCGCGGCTGTCCGGCCGCACCACCCAGAGGAACGGCCGGCCGGTGGAGGCGAGCCCGTGCGCCATCTCCGCCACCTCGCCGGCGGACAGCACCACGACGCTGCCGAGCGACGCGTACACGACGGAGCGCGGAGGGTGTTCGTCCAGCCACCCGACGCAGTCGTCCGCTGCCCTGATCATGTCGCCGCGCACCGCGGCGTCGCCCTCCAGCTCGATCAGCGGGCCGACGGGGATGAGCGGCGGCGGCGGCGGCGACGTCGCGACGCCGCGGAGCGCGTCCACCACGTCGCGCTCCAGCTCGGTGAAGGAGTTGACGAACACCCACGTCGCCTTGTCGATGGTGCGGATCTGCTGCTGTATCGCCTCCGTGAGGCTCATGTAGGGGTTCGACGGGAGGAGGAAGGACGGCACGTCGGCGACCGACATCGCCGGGAGCCCCGGCAGCGTGAGCCGCGCGTCGAGGTCGTCCTCGGGGGGGAACTCGACGAGGCCGTGGACGCGGTGGTAGTAGAGCGAGAACACGGCGCACGACTGCACCCACAGCACGGCCGACAGGATGCCGGCGGCGGCGGCGACGTCGACCGCCCACGGGATGAACGGGTTCCCGACGACGCACGCCACCGGCCGCCCCGCCGCCTCCTGCCGCGCGAGCAGCTCGGCGAACGCCGCCGGCCCGGCCGTCCCGAGGTGCCGCATCAGCTCGTCGAGGTCGCTCCCGTCGAAGCCATCCTCCAAGAACTCGAACCTGATCCGGCCGCCGCCGAGCGGCACGCCGTCGCCGCCGACCGACACGCCGGACGACTCCACGAGCTTGGCGCCGATGGCGGACGTCGACGAGAACGTCACGACGAGGCCCTTCGCCGCGATGCGCTTGGCGAGCCGGAGCATCGGGTTGACGTGGCCCTGCCCGGGGAAGCAGATGAGGAGCAGGTGCGGCGCGCCGCCGCTCGCCGCCGCCGCCGCCGCCGCCGTCACCGTGGCCGCCGCGGCTTCCTCGCCCATGGCTAAGCAAGCTAACTTAGCTAGCTGCGAGCTCACTATTTTCTTCTCGCCTTTTCTCCGAGCAGCTGGCGTGCAGTGATCGATCTCTCGATAGCTTTGGTCTTTGATACTGTGGCAAGTGAGATGAGGCAACCAAATTTATACCAAAAATTTGTGACTTGCAGATGAACACGATGACGTCTGACGTGGCGTCACACATGTAAATACAAGGCAGCGGTTTATGGGCTACCTATTTTATTTTCTTTACATTTAAAATTGAATACTATCTGGTCCCGCTGTATCCAAAGATAAACGTGAGTGTAGGGGAAAAAAAGATAATTGTTAATTATCATACAATTAAAGCTTAGGCCATTTTGTGTATCAATAGTCATGACCCTATTAAAAACAAATAGTTCAAATTAAAGAAGATATTGTGGGTTTTTTTTTTTGGTTGTGTATCAATTTGTCATTAATGTGTGCAATGTTAGATTATTGTAGTTGCAGGAATAGACTACGAGTGGCTAGTCACTGTCTCATTGTTTTGGTAAAGGGACATGGCACCAAAAAAATAATCTACTACTATAGCTAAGGGCCCATTTGAATCGTAGGAATGAAAAAACGGAGGAATAAGAAAAATATAGGATTATGATAGGAATGTAAGTGTAAAACAGAGGATTGCAAAACACAGGAATGATCGTTTGATTGGACCACAGGAAAAACACAGGAATCGGATAAGAGAGATAGACTCAAAGGATTTTTACCAAGAGGTTGGACCTCTTGCTAAGTTTCCTCCAAAACCTATATGCAACAAGCCATTCCATAGGAATTTTGTAGGATTTGGAAAACTTCAATCCTTTAAATCAAAGAGCTATATAGGAAAATTTTCTTTAGAATTTCAATCCTATGAAATGTCTTCATAATTCCTTTGATTCAAACGGGCCCTAATTAATTAGATGCACAACTGCAGCAACTGTCAGGACATCCATGCTGTTTTGCTGATATTACTGTCACATTGAGCTGGGTGTTTATGATAGACATTTTAGAATGGATCCTTAAAATTTTATCGGGTTTTAAAATTAATTTGTTTAATAGAAAAACATTTTCACCATCCAAAATAAATATACTGCCAGATACACGCATCTGCTTTCTTCACAAAAACTGAATTTAGTTTTAATAACCGTCCTAACTATTCCCTATGTAAAAAATACTCTATATATATATATATATATATATATATATATATATATCTTATACATATTAATAAAAATAAAAAATATATCTTCAACTTTCTTAAACTCCAATACATTTGTCCTCTACCTTCTCAGATCAACCTCCAAAATATTATCTCCTACTATCTCAAACTTAATGTATTAATTGCTTTTAAAAAAAGATCTTCATAGAACAAATGGAGGACAGAAAAAAATAAAGTTTTTTTTTAGGGACCAAGGAAGTACTACTCTATAATTAAGTAACTGTCAGAAGTAAATGCAAGCCGTTCTTCTTTTCACTCGAAGGAGACTGCAGACTATTGGAGTATAAGGGGGTGTTTACATGCAGGGGCGAAAAGTTTTACCATGTCACATCAGATATACGAACACATATTTGAAGTATTAAATATGGTCTAATAACAAAATAAATTATAGATTTCACTTGTAACCTGCGAGACAAAATTATTAAGCCTAATTAATCTATCATTAGCAAATGTTTACTGTAGCACATCATTATCAAATCATAGAGCAATTAGACTTAAAAGATTCATCTCGCAAATTAGTCGTAATCTATGCAATTAGTTATTTTTTAGTCTATATTTAATACTTCATGCAGGTGTTCAAACGTTCGATGTAACAGGGTGAAAAATTTCGAGATGGGATCTAAACAGGCCTAAGTACAGCGGAAAGAAGCATGTGCTTGTTTCCCAACTTGAAGGACCTCATTAAATTCAAATCAAGTGGTACTTCGGCGGTCATGCTATCTCGGTCAAGCGAAAGGGCACATAGTTAGATTGACCTGAGTAACTCCTTTAAATCCTAAATCCTAAGTTTAAATCCTTATAGAAACGAATGTCAGCTGATTAGATTGTTTGATAGCTAAATTATCAATTCAAAAGGCTGTATATATATAGTTGGATATAGAAACCTATCCTTCTGTTAAAAAAAAATCTCGTTCAAAAAAGACTTGATTTTTTCTTCACATCTGACGCATACCAAATAAAAACAAAAAAAAAATTACTCATCACACTGTTAGATTCCAAATTTCCAATAGATTTGTCACACACTTTCTTAAACTCTAATATTTTTATATTTATCCCCTACTATTTCAAACTTACTAGTACGTATTAATTGCTTTAAAAATTAAGTAACTGTCAGAAGTAAATATAACCCTTTTTTTACATGCAGACTGCAGGCATGTGTGAGGGAATCCTTTGGGGAACCGGTTTCTAGAAGGGCGATGGAGAAGCTAGCAAAGTTGCTATTGGATCCACTAGTTTCGGCATGAAGAGCGACCTCACGAGCTGACTGAAAATTTGGGCCGACTCGATTGGCTGTGGAAGAGGATAAAGGATACGTGGATGCGAGACGCCCTCTTTTGTGTTCTTTTTAGAGTTAATTTTAGTTTGGGCCACCTTTTATTACCGATGTTTCGCTTTAGATCATCTTAGGACTAATGTTTTTATTTTGGACCGGGTATTTTTACCTTTGTTTCACATTGGACCACCCTCACTCTTTTATCCATCTACATCCAACTTGTAATATGTCGAAGAAATAGTCTTACATATAGCTGTGGTAGTTCATTGACGAGTAGAAGACGGCGTAATCGAGATCGTTCATATGCTTGAGAAGAGAGTTGGGTGGTCCAAAGTGAAACAAAGGTAAGTTTATCCAGTACAAAGTGAAAATATTGCTTAAAGGGTAGTCCAAAGTGAAACATAGGTAACAAAAGGTGGCTCGAAGTGAAATTTACTCTTCTTTTTATTTTTTTTCCTGTACACAGGGAGTACACCCTAGACCTTAAAAAAAGAACCTTGCTATACGTCCGATTTATTTGTTCGACCAGTGTACGACTAAACGGAACAGCTCGGCGCGTGATGGCGTGAGGCAAGAGCATGGGTTGGTCATACGGACATCGACGCCATGCACTTGCGTGCGTTACAGTCGTACAAGAGTCGGACAAAGTAGTCTTGTGTATAGCATTTTTCTAAAAAAAATTACTTCATCCATTTCAAAGTATAAAAAGTCTGGACATAAATGAGATATTTCGTAGGACTTCGAATTTGGACATAAATGTTCCATCCGATTGTAGATCCTTATATTTTAAAATGGTGGTAGTAAATCTTAGCTATAAATTTAAACATGTGATCAAACTAATTTGTAGCTAAGATTTAAATTTTATTGGAACAAAAGAAATATATTGCTAGATGGTCAACTTAGTACAACTTTGTTAAAACCATGTAATGAAGAGCGTGTTCCGCTTCGCGTTTGTGGGATACTCCTTTCGTCTTATAAAAAACGAATCTACGATCGGATGTGACATATTTTAGTATTACGAATCTGGACATATGTATGTTAAGATTAGTAGTAATAGGATGTATCATATCCGGTACTAGGTTTGGTTTTTTATTAAACGGAGGGAGTATATTTTTGTGTAGAGACATATCATGCGGTTTAGCTTTAGTAATCATCTGTTCGTACTATACTGTCTAAGTGTGCATCTATCGTGTACTCCCTCCGTACTCGTAAAGGAAGTCGTTTTGGACAGCGACACGGTCTCCAAAATACAACTTTGACTTGTTTCTATAAAAATATTATTTGAAAAGTAATATATGTATATTTTTACGAAATTATTTTTCAAGACAAATCTATTCATATAGTTTTTATATTTTCAAACTCAACAACTTGAGAGTTATTCATGAACTCGTAAAGGAAGTCGTTTTGGACAGCGACACGGTCTCCAAAATACAACTTTGACTTGTTTCTATAAAAATATTATTTGAAAAGTAATATATGTATATTTTTACGAAATTATTTTTCAAGACAAATCTATTCATATAGTTTTTATATTTTCAAACTCAACAACTTGAGAGTTATTCATGATTTATATTCCCAAGGTTTGACTTAAATATTGTCCTAAACGACTTCCTTTACGAGTACGGAGGGAGTATAAAATAGCATTGATAGCCAACAACATAATAATATGTGACTTGTATGTGTCCAGCTAAGCACAATAAAGGATCAACCCGATCCATGTCACTATAAATTCTATGGTTTTAAATACTCCCTCCGTCCCTAAATATTTGATGCCGTTGATTTTTTTAAATATATATGATCGTTCGTCTTATTCAAAAACTTTTATAAAAAATATAAAACTATATATATATATATATACATAAAAATATATTTAACAATGAATCAAATGATAGGAAAAGAATTAATAGTTACTTAAATTTTTTTTATAAGATGAATGGTCAAACATGTTTTAAAAAATCGACGGCGTCAAATATTTAGGGACAGAGAGAGTATTACTTAAAGGATGCTATCATAATTTTAGATATGTCACTACTTATACCCTTCAAAGCATTATAATACTTTTTTTTAACAAACTACCCTCTTTATTCCTTCTTCCTCTTCGTTGGATATGTTCCTCCAGCGCAACCGCCTCAGGAACCGAAAAAAGAGAAAAATTTCCCAGCCGCCCAACGTCACGATGTCCTCACTTCCAAACCCAAACGGCAACCGGCGGCTACCAAGCAAAGCAACGCCCCTGCTCCAGGACAACAGAGCGAGGTGAGGATATGGTGACAGCGGCGCCATCATCGATCGCGCCGGTAGACCTCCTGGCAATGCACCCTCACCTCCCTATCTTGTCGATCGTCGTCCTCCTCGATCAACAGCCCACCTCTTCTTCGGTGATGGATAATGTCGCTATGCATGCAGCGCGAGGCAGATTAGTTAGATGGGACTAAAACTTCTTTTAAAGACTATTAATAAAACCCATCCATAATCTTAAACTAATTCACGAGACGAATCTATTGAACCTAATTAATCCATAATTAGTCTATGTGATGCTATAGTAAACATTCTCTAATTATAGATTAATTAGACTTAAAAAATTTGTCTCGCAAATTATCTTTTATTTATGTAGTTAGTTTTATAAATAGTCTATATTTAATACTCTAAATTAGTATCTAAATATAGAGACTAATTTTAAGTCCTTGATCGAAACACCACTCTGGTGTGACGAGAGGATAAGAGACGAGTCCAACACACCCCGGTGGAAGCGGACCGAGGAAGAGTCTGACGGAGGAGGATATCTCCGATCGATCCAGATCAAGCTCGTAATGGAGCAGAGGCTACACCGTCCAGTGATTGAGGACAGTGGGGCCACTAGACCGGTGGCTCCACAACACCCGGAGCCACGAAACGGCATATTTACGAAAGAAAATTAATTTGTGAATAAAAATTTTAGGGAGTAGTTATATTTATGGCGCTATATTTTTCAAAAAAAAATAGTCGGTATGTATTTACATTGTAAGTCCCTAAATTACATATGTAATTTTAGTATATCTACAAGTATGTACTAAAATTACATACTAATTATATATGTAAGTGGTGTGTAAGTGTGGTGTACCAGTGCAATGTTAAACTTTAACGCTAATCAACCAAGAAGATTTGGGCAGCAATGTCGCCCGGCGTGAAAACATCCAACGACCAGCGAATACTCGTGGAGCAATCGTACGGCCAGCGACACCGACTAAAATCAGCCCAAAAAACTGTCGACATATTTTTAGCAATTCTGAATTTTTATATATGTGTTATTATTGATCTAAAAGTAAATGCTGAAAAATAAACTTCGATGAAAAAACCTTAAAATTATTTAGATTGAAAATTCAAATAATTGACTTATAAGTATAAGCATAAAAAAAAAGTCTGCCATCCCCAACACTGCCGCCATGGCTGCTCCCGCTTGCTAGTCTCTCTGGTCACTGCCGGTGTAATCGATGCTACACAAACATTCTCCCAGCTCCGAGCTGACACCAAGCTCCTCTTCTCCGACTCCGAGCAATCACCGTCGACGGCCACTTTCCTCTCTAGAGGAGGAAGGGAAGGAATGCTCTGAGCTCCTCTTGATCTGTTTGGCAGCATCTAGTAGGACAGGACAGGAGAGGAAGAAATAAGGAGGAGGACAATTTGGTCCAACATTTTAATATAATACATTAAAATGGTAAGTAGTTACATGCCTCCAATACATATAAAGTTGTAAATATGCAAGTTACAATGATATATTTTAAAACCAAAATGTTTATAGTGGTACAAGTATAATTAACATGAAATCTTATCTTATATAGTGAAAGCAACCATATTTCTTACACGAGAACACGTCACATCATCGAAAACTTATCAGCCGTTAAATAAAGAGTTTAGATAAATAATAGCCATTGGATAAAAAAGTTACATATGCACTGAAAAAACAACAATTGGATTAATGTATGGAAATTTTCGGAGGTTTCTAGTGTCTCCTTTTAGACACATGGTACAAAGAGAGAGAGGGGCAAAGATAATGAAGAAAACAAAAACCACGAAGCTTCTAGTGATTTCTCATATAGTATGGTTTAGTTAAATCTATAGTTAGCTAGACCAATAGATACTTTGTAAATAAATTAACTCATGCTAAAACCTTCTGTAACTAATAGATCATATCCAATAAATAGTTCTTATACAAAATAAAAAGTCGCGCAACGCACGACTACGTGGCTTGTAAATATGAAAATTTCACTTAGATATATGCCTGGTTATGTAACACTTCATCTATTCCAAAACAAATTAATCTAGTATGAGATATGATTTATGAAACTGGACATAAGCATGTATTAGGTTAACTTATTTTGGACACATAGAGTACTACATTTGTATCTTTAGGGCTTGTTTAGTTGGCAAAAAATTTTGCCCCTGCATGTCACATCGGATATACGAACACACATTTGAAGTATTAAATGTAGTCTAGTAACAAAATAAATTACAGATTTCTCCAAGAAACTGTGAGACGAATTTATTAAGCCTAATTAATCCATCATAAGCAAATGTTTACTATAGCAACACATTATTAAATCATGGCACAATTAGATTTAAAAGATTTATCTTGTAATTTTTTGGCGAACTGTATAATTAGTTTTTTCTATATTTGATACTATATACATACATGTATCCAAACATTTAATATAACAACGTGAAAATTTTTGTTTAGGAATAAACAGGCCATTACTCGTCCACGCAACAATGGCCAAGACTTCTGAATAATATTTTCGGGGAGTAGGTTAATTAAGAGTGTATACACTCAATTAATTTCATGGTATACCGACAGGTTCTCGGGGTGAGCTTATTTTATTTCAGGATAATGATGTGCAACCAAGTCAAACCATCTTGGTCTCCCAAACTTAATCATATCCAAAGTCACGTGGTTTCTAGTGACTGTCAGTCGATGGGGTGCCCATGTCAAATCCGGCCATTGGTCCTGGCCACTGTAACCGCACATATCACTGACATATGTGTCTCATTACTTCCATACTAGTCGTGTGGTGTTTGGATTCTGACTTAACTTTAATCTTTATATTTAGACACCAATTTAGAGTATTAAATATAAACTATTTACAAAACTAATTATATAAATGTAAGCTAATTTGCGAGATAAATTTTTTAAGCCTAATTAATTTATAATTAGAGAATGTTTACTGTTGCATCATATAGGCTAATCATGGATTAATTAGGCTTAATAGATTCGTCTCGCGAATTAGTCCAAGATTATGGATGTGTTTTATTAATAGTCTACGTTTAATACTTATAATTAGTGTCCAAACATCCGATATGATAGGGACTTAAAAGTTTTAGTCCCATCTAAACATGGGCTAATAGTCAGATGATACCTTTCCATGATTATTTTCTTTCATTTTTTAAATGTGTCAGGGTTATGGATACCACATACCTAATAGTAGTTGACTAAATCTCGGCAGGACCCACCATATACCATGTCTCATACGGAAACAACCTTCGGATATAGGAGGAGTTCCGCATAAGGAATGATGAATAGAGTTCTACATGAAAACGATAAAGGACTACTCGGATTTTATTCATATTGGTCTCCTTAGTTCTACTTGGACAAGAGGACACCTATGGGTATAAATACAAGACCCCCTAGGAGGAGAGGGGAGAGGGAACAATAGATCAAGACACAAGATCAACATACAAGCCAACATACGCCAAGACAAGACGCCGGATATCGACTTCAGAGACAAGCATAGCTAGTCCCCTACGGTGTCTACGGATACTGTCAGGAGAGACATAGCGCTGTCATTGATCTCGCCGGATGTGGATTCGAGGAGGAAGGCTACCCTGTTGTCGACTACGAGTCAGCACTTCAGATCGCCAAGTCGACAACAGTTAGATAGGCTACCCCAAATATTGTACTGGTGTGATTATGATGAATAAGAGCAATGACCAGCTTCGGTCAACAGGAGTAGGGTTATTACCTGACAATTCAGGGGCCCGAACCTGTATAAAAATCCTCGTTCCCATCTCTTTTACCTCAATCTCGCATATATCCTAGTACCAATAATCCCCATACCATGCAAATACCGGAATCGCGACATCAAACGTAGACAAAATGCACCTTAGATTTCTAATATATATAGCACCATAAAATTTTATTACAAGCTTTGATCGTGTGTTTCATTTAAAATTTTGAGGAAATCTTAAAAATATGCTTTAAGTTCATTTAATAATAAATCAAGCTACAACAAAAGAAAAATGTGTACTTCCATTTTTTAATAAAACAAATGATCAAACATGATGTAAAAAGTTAAAACATCACATATTAAAAAAAGAAAGTAGTATATCAGACATTGTTGACCTTTTATATGCTTAATCATTTGTCATATTTTTTTAAAAAATAAATTTAATTTAATTTATTATGGATTTATTTATTATGAAATACTTTTAAGCATGATTTATTTTTTAATGTTTACATAAAAGTTTTAAATAATCTGAAAACTTTTATAAATAAATTAATGATTCTATTATTGAAAGTAAAATACTACAAAATGATATTCTATTCGGACGGGACGATATCTTTAAGGTATCCCCTAATATCTGGTAGGTAGGTATCGGTTGATACCTGTTTGGACGGGATGATACCTTTGAGGTATCACGTGATACCTGGTAGATATTAGCCGGGATGATATCAGGTATCAGGCAATACCTTAGAAGAGACATCGTTTATCGTCTGGTGGCATTCCCCTTATTTTTAAATAAAAAGAATGGAATTACTCCCGTATATATGATGGTCTCTTCCTGGCTCGCGCGCACTCGTGATCCCCTGCTGCGGATCTCAGTGATGTTTAGGGATCGAACCCAGCAATGCCTATGCCCCTACCACTCGTCGTACTAGGTAGTCGCTGTCAACCTCCGTCCGTCCGTCCATCCGTCTTGCGGCTGGAAGCTGGGTTTTACCAGTCTTCACGGCGCGTGAGTACGTGTGTGACCCCAGCCGTGACGCCGCCTGCACTTGACGCCAAAACCCTGCCGTTCCTTGCCCCACTCCACGACTCCTCTAGCTCGGCTAGGACGGCTAGTGCGTTATAATCCCTGCGTTTAATAATATATAGAATTTTAATTAGATGTAGTTCAGATTTATTGTATTATAATGTGTCACATCCACCTAAAATCTCTTGTATTATAGCACGGAGGGAGTATAAAAAGAGAACTTACTTCCTTAAATGAAGTAAAGTAGTAAATATTAGGAAGTCAATAGCTTAATTTTGATGAGTCTTTCCAAATAAATACACCATCGTTAACGCCGTTAACGTTTTAGGTTTTATGGAAACCGTCAACAGACTAACAGAAATCGATAAAATCCAATAAAAAAATTAAAGTTTAACTTGAATTTTTTTCTAACTTGATAAAAAAGTTTTTGAGTGATTTGTGTTTACCGAAAAACCGGTTGGCGTCGTGGGCTTTGTAAACCCGGCCATTGTTCCCCCTCCTACCTCGCCAAGGTGATACCGATGCGACCATGTACGTAGTACCTCTCGTCCTCTTCACCACGCACACCCGCGTAGCGACACGCGCATCACGTCCGTTCCGCCCACGACAACGACTAGCAATTGCCTAGCAATCTACTCCTACTAGCTCGCTGTCTCACTGTCTCCTCACTAGCTTAGCTTAAATTAGCTTGGCTTCTGGTATTTTTGGCCGTGTTTAGTTGTTTGGTCAAAATTTCTTTTGCGTCCGTATGCATGTTTGAAATATTAAATATAGACTAATAGTAAAACAAATTATAGATTCCGTCTATAAACTGCGAGACGAATTTATTAAGTCTAATTAATCCGTTATTAGCAAATGTTTATTATAGCATCACATTGTCAAATCATAGTGTAATTAGGTTTAAAAGATTCGTCTCGCGATTTACATGCAAACTGTGCAATTGGTTTTTTTTTTCCATATTTAATACTCCATGCATATGTTCAAACATTTGATGTGACGGAAAATGTGAAAGTTAAAAAAAAATTAATCTAAACACGGCTTGTATTGGATCCCTGGGTCTCCATCTGGATTAATTAATTTTACTACTATACTCCGTCAAATGGAGACTTTGATCTGGATCGCGACAAACATATACCGCCTGCTTCTTCGGTTGCGTATGTAGCAGATGAAATTTGACGGAATATGCTCGAATTCTAAATAATACTCCCTCCGTATTTTAATGTATGACGCCGTTAACTTTTTAACCAATGTTTGATCATTCGTTTTATTTAAATTTTTTGTGCAGATATGAAAATATTTATATCATACTTAAAGAACATTTGATGATGAATCAAGTTATAATAAAATAAATGATAATTATATATTTTTTTTAATAAGACGAATGGTCAAAAGTTAGGTAAAAAGGTTTACGGTGTTATACATTAAAATATGGAGATATATATACTAGTAGTATTACTTGTTGCTGCTGCGGCCTGCAGCCAACTTGTGGGAGGAGAATTCGACGACGACGGCAGCGGCGGTGTGGACGGCAAATCGTTGTTGGCTTTCCCATGTTCGGGAAGAAGGCACGCGATTTGTTGGAGACCATGGAGAGAGAGGTAGAGAGGAAAGAACACACACCAAGTACGCAAGAAGTTTCTGCGTCGACGTAGACACTATATATATTCTGGCCAGTTTTTATTTTTGTTGCTCTTGTGATTACGCCATTTCGATTGTCTTTTGCTTTTACATTCGTTTGATCTGGTATATGCTTGCGTGGATTCAAGAGCTGGCAGAGCTTTACTATGCGGCTATGCCGTGATGACTTGGGTCGTTCGTTGGATAGATGTATTCCCACAAAGTGTTAACTGTACCCATCATAGCAATTCATTTTTGCTATATATCTGTCGACAAATTTTCTCCTGAAAATTTGACAGATATAATTACAATACAATCGTAGTGTAATTAACTTGTATGTAATTACACTATAACTTGTATGTAACTTTCACATAATTTTAAACCGTTAGATTTGTTTCAAGATTTGTACAAGTGAAGAAGGAAAAAAGTCGCTGCGTGCACATATGTGAGAGGATCCATTCCCACGACCTTCGTTTCATCGAAATAGACTGTTATAGAGAGATTTTTAAAAGTTACATATAAGTAGCATGTACTCCCTCCATCCCACAATATAAGGGATTTTGAATTTTTGCTTGCAACGTTTGACCACTTGTCTTATTCAATTTTTTTTACAAATATAAAAAACGAAAAGTTGTGCTTAAAGTACTGTAGATAATAAAGTAAGTCACAAATAAAAATAATAATATTTTTAAAAAAATTTGAATAAGACGAGTGGTCAAACGTTGCAAGTAAAAACTCAAAATCCCTTATATTATGGGACGGAGGGAGTAAGTTACAGTGTAATTGCATCACGATTGTATTATAATTATATCTGTCAAATTTTTAGGAGAAAATTTTTTAACAAATGTATAGGTGATCCCTTCATTGTATCCTATGTAATTTTTTTCATCACGAAACAATACAATGAATTTTGAAGAAACGAGGAACATAGGATATAATTGTGGATATATGTGTAAGGCCTTTTTAGGGTAGGAGGAGATAATACTAATTTTGAAATATTAATACTATATTTAAACTCCTCTCTATTAATATAATGCCAATCACCTGATTGGCCGTTCGAAAAAAAATAATACTACCTATGTTTCGTATTATATATCGTTTTGACTTTTTCATAGTCAAATTTACTTAAGTTTAATTGAGTTTATTAAAAAATATAATAGTATTTTCAATACAAAACAAATATATTATCAAAATATATTCAATGCTAGATCTGGTTTTATTGGATGTTCTAGATGTATATATAATTGTGGATGTATTCGTTTTTTTAGGGTAGGGGGAGCTAATACTAATTTTGAAATATTAATAGCTAGTAGTAATACATAGAGCACGGCTAATATTAATAGTCCATTTCATACTGCAGTATTATTTTGGCCCATTGGCGAGGAAAGATTTTCGGCTTGGGCACTTTGGGCACCAAGCGAGGAAGACAAAACATTATTTATTTATCAACGAAAGGTGAAACCGGTGTTGAAGGCCCACCCAGAAATTAAAAAGAGTAGAAAAACATATTGTTCAAGCAGAAAATGCTGTATCTCATCCGATAGTATATAGGGTTATAGTATGTAGCTCATTTAAAATACATGATTTTTCAGGATAGTTCGGATAGTTAATTTTCTTAGCGAATTTACGATAAGTAATTAGTAAAATCCTCCAAATCCCTACATGCGATTTGTTTTAGGTGGGCTACGATATACAAGAGCCCATTCACAACATGGAGAATGGGCCTTAGACCAATCCGAAGGCTGCTTTCGTTTTGTGCTGTTGGGAGCTATCTCTACGCACGTGAAACAAAACAACTCATTAGCATATGATTAATTAAATATTAGTTATTTTTTAAAATAAAATAGATTAATATGATTTTCTAAAGTAATTTTTCTATAGAAAACTTTTTCGAAAAAAACATCGTTTAATAGTTTGGAAAACGTGCGCGTGCAAAATGAGAGCGGTGAGTCGGGAAAGAACACACCCGAAATCGAGTTAATCAGTACTTCAGTAGTAGTTCGTTTTTCCTTGTTATAATCTCGTTTCACAGTTTGGAGGCAGAATTTTGAAGTAGACTTATCTAAAACTTATTTCGTTCTAAAAAAAATCTAAAACATATTTGTTCATGCGGATGAAGATTGAAGATGTTGATGAAGACGCGGCGTGCGCTTACACGGATGAAGATAAACAACGTTTTGTGCTCATTTACAAGAGGAGGAAGAACTGAATATATGAGAGGTGCAGAAGTGCCAAGCTCAAGAGTTATTCAGAAGACCAGAACCTGAAGATAACTTCAGATGATAAAATTCTGAAGGATGACTGTGCATCCGTATTCACCTTGTTCAAATCAGATACACTAGAAGTTTCAGAGACGCAGCCAGAAACTCATAATCACCGGAAAATTTAGCTGAAGATTGTCTGTGAAATTGCAAATCGACAACCTTTTTCTGAATTCTGAAGGCAAACAACCTGGAAAAGGTTAGGCTCAGGTTAGTGAAATAGAATTTCTGAATATGTAAAATCAATCTAGGTCCCCCTCCCTTCGTGGCACAAATCATACGATCTTCCTCTTCTTGGCGCGCACTCACGCTGGCGCAGGCCAGGAAGAGATGAAGAGGTGATGTAAAACTGATTACTTTTACATTTTATACCTTTTTAAAAACTTATTTTACAAATACACTCTTAAAAACTTATTAGATCATTGGTGCCATGATCTTGTTACTTACTTCTATCTATTAAACGTTACGGGTACTTAGTTACCGTGACTTAATCATGCTCTGTACTAAACCTTTACTACGTAGTTCATTCAAGCTATACTGACCTTTCCATGATTTGTACTCATCACTTGCCTCTTCGCTTAGTGCACTCGAAACAGAGCTTCAAGTAAGATGTTTGTGGAACATCTCTATAGTTTGTCTTACCCTAACATGACAACGCCAGCGCCGTTCCCCTTATCCCCCAGAAAGCTAAGCCATCAATGTGAAGGGGATCTGCGCAAATGACATATTTGTAAAAAAATATAAAAAGGACAAACATGTAAATATATCTTTTTTTAAAATAGGTTATCGGCCAATGAAACTGATGTCTAGAATCTATTTATAAATATATTTTTATTACAAATAAGTTATTTTCAAACAGGAAAAAATAAATTGGTCTTTGGTGTCGACCCTCTTCACGCTAATGACTTAACATGAATAACGCCAATAACTCTAGCCACGAAAAATGTTTATTTCTGAAATAATTTTTTTCAAGTGTTTATTTGTAAAACAAATTTTAAAAATATCAAAATGTTAAAAGAAAAAAAATCGGAGTGATGTAAAACCTACCGAACCCACAAGGAGAAAGGACGAAAGCAACATGAGAATTGAGGAAGTCAGCCACGTCGCCGGCGGTGTCAAGACGCCCCGGGGGTCAAACGCCATGCACACGCCGAAGCAAGGAATTTTTGCGACACGGCGACGACACGCACAATCGTCGCCTCCTCACCAGCGGCACAACCACGCGCTGTAAGCTGTAACCTGCCTAACCTGCGCGCGCGGTATGCAAGAAAAATGAAAAAAAGAAGAAAAGAAAATCCACAGGAGCCTTTTCTTCCCGTTCTTTTTCCATCGGCAAAGTGCACAGATGCTTTCATCAAGACGACAACATCCCCGGTCCGGTTGTAACTCGTAATCCATTTGTCCCATAAAAAACTAACCTATGCTAAATGTAACATATTCTAGTAATACGAATTTGGATATACCTATGTTCAGATTTATTGTACTAGAATATATAATATCCAGTTCTAGATTTGTTTTTTTCGGGATGAAACCTCTCTGAACAGATTTGTTTCCCTGTCAACACACACAGTGATCTGATCTCTACTGATCGATATTCTTTGGCAGATTTGGCTCTCCCTCCCGGTGCATTGGTCGGTCGTGCACGGGTGTCGCCGTGTCGGTGTCGTCGTACGTCGCCCGCCGCGTGCGAATGCAACACCCTCATTTCGTAGCTGCAAACAGTGCATACGCGCCGCGGAGTCCTGCAAAGCAGCGCAGACGGGTGGTGGTCGGCCGCCACCTTAGCTCCAAGGCTTTCTTCACCAGCATGCACCTGAGCCGTCCAGCTGCTTTGCCACACACATGCCTCTTTCGTTTCGTTAAATTCTACATAAAAAAATATGGTACCTCTAGGTATGGTAAAATTATCCTTCTAATTAAGATATCGACTTTATTTTAGTTTTCATTAGTATGTTTTTTTTAATTGCTAAATGATACAGTTCATATGAAAACTTTGTATATATAAGTTGTTCTAAGATATCAAATAAATATATTTTTAAATTTATAATAATTAAAACACAATTTATCATACGTTAATGGTTTTCTCATTTTACATGCTCTTATTTAATCTTGATCTGACTAAGGTTCGAAGGGACCAATATAGTAGGAACTTCCAAACAAAATGCAAGGAATAGGGGCACTGGTATCAATTTGTTTGACAGGATAAATTATCAGACTTACATTTTTTTTAGGACTCACATTGTGAGGGGTTTTGTTGAACAGCGGCAACTTTTTTTTTTTGCCGGAATGACCGAAGGAGGTCATTCAATATAATTAAGATTAGAAGAAAAGTTTTACATCGACAGCTGGCTGTCGAGGAAGGAAGTGCACCAAGGCACACACCCCGAACCATGTACCAACCGCCCAAACACACGCTACAGAGAGGGAAGCCGAGTACCGAACTGGCCGTCGCTATGTGAGACCGATCGCCACCGGGCCAACAACACCACAACGGCGTAAAGACTCTAAAATGACGCCCTCACGAGGGTCGCGACTCCAAGAGACGCCGTCGTCATCCGTCCCAAAAACGGGACAAGGTTTTCACCCAGAGCTCCTTACCGAGGGAGGAGGGGTACCTCAACAATGCCCTCACGCCCGAAAGCATAGTCACTGTTGGCCTAAAGATTGGGCTAAGCTTTCGCTCGGAACCGCCTACCGCTATGGTCTGTCGCTTAATCCGAAACCACCAACTAAACATCGGCGACACATGGCTTCTGCCACACCCGACCGACACAAGGTTGCATGGCACAAGAAACGAACAACAATGCGGGAAAATTTTCCAAAAGGTTGCATGACAGTTGATCGTCTGACGAGTGACGAGATCTAAGATAAATCTGTCGGGAGGGATAGGAAAAGAAAAGGAGCTGAAAAAAATATGTAGTATAAATGACCGAACGGGGATAGCAACAACCAGTATGGACGCCTTTGGTAAAAGATTCAGCATTCAACAGTTTGAATGAATGGACTGGATTCCATTCAAATATGTAACAGAAAGCGTTTGAAAGTGCACCTCCCGGTGATTATTACCGACGACGAATTTAGTGCGTGCTTTGCTAACTGGCAAAGAAAACACCACTGCTGAATTTACTTTGAGTAGGAGGTACTCCAATTTAATTTACCTTCGCAATTTAGAAGCAACGCAACACTCAGAATTCCATTGACTGCATAACATTAGGTAGGGAAAAAAAAGAAGAGATTTTTTTATGGTCCAGCAAATTATACCGCTTGGTACTAGTACCGCTCAGTACCAGTACAAATCTGCCGTTTGTTCCGGTATGGGTAGGATCGGAAGAGAGTGACACCGGCATGCGTTGAAGCAATCAAGTGGCGGCGAGCGGCGGATTTTGGCATGTGTTGAAGCAGGTCACGGCGGCGGCATCGAACTCGTCCTTCCCAATGGCGGCGGCGTTGAAGCAAGCGGCGGCGGTAGCGAACTCGTCGTTCTCGGCGGCGGCGGCGTCGATGTCGTCCTTCCCGCGCGGCGGCGTCGGCGTCCAAGTCGTCCTTCCCGTCGGCGGCAACAGCGAACTCGTCGTTCCCGGCGGTGGCGGCGTCGATGTCGTCCTTCCCGGAGGCAGCGGCGTCGATGTCGTCCTTCCCGGCGGCGGCGGCGTCGATGTCATCCTTCCCGACGGCGGCAGCGTCGATGTCGTCCTTCCCGGAGGCGGCGGCGTCGATGTCGTCCTTCCCGGCGGCGGCGACAGCGATGGCTGAGTTCACCTCCAGGAGTCAGCGGCGTCGATCCACGAGGCGGCAGCGGCGATCGAGAATCCCGCCGCTTCTAGGGTTCGAGCTGCCCGTCCATCCCTCCCGATCTGGTTATTGCACACGAAGTTACGTTTTTGCCCTTCTACCTCAGTTCTTCGTGTGGTACTGGATAGGGATAGAATTGGTACCGCCTGGTACCAAACTCTACTAGCCGTTGGATCGGGCCAGATCCAACGGCTAGGATTTTGGTACCGGGCGGTACTGGTACCGACCGCTGTACCGTAACAATGACTCAAAAAAGAAACTTTGAACATACCGCAACACCAGTTTCCCCTACATTTAGAATTCCTCTATTAAATTATCAAAGCACCAAGCAAAAGCTCTGAATGTGTCATTCCAGCACAAAACATTCAGACCAGCACCAACTGCATGCAGATTTGCATCATGTTAAATAAATCAAATTAAAACACCAGACCTCCAAACTAGCCATGCATTTGCACTGCACTGCACTGGTGGTCAAACAGGAGGTGTAAATGCAACGTCAGCAAGAAAAAGAAAAAGACGATGATGAAAAGGAGAGGGGAAGGAAGAAGATTTTGTTCAGAATCCGAAGAAGGTTAACGGGATCAAGCCTACTTCACCACTTTTCCTCCATCCATTTTGTCAACTCCTCTCCGCTTTTCATCCATCCAAAGTCCGCGCGTTCAATTCAACGCACGTCTCTTGTCCTGCACTTCTGCTATGCCTCCTCCATTTATATACACATCTTCTTCTTCCTCCCAGCCATGGCCAACCTCTGCCAATCAAACACCCTTACTACTCCTGCTCCTACGACCGCGATCTTCTTCATCTTCAAGATAGCTAGCTTGTTCGAGTGTTCTTGGCAGCGCGGCGGAGTTGGGGATGGGGTTTCGGTCGTCGTCGTCGTTGTCGCTGATGCAGCTGGCTGTTCTTGTGGTGGTGGTGTTGCTGCTTTGCACGGCGGTGGAGTGCTCGAGGCCTCTGCGTGATCACGTTGGCGGCGGCGGCGGGTTCTCGGTGGGGAGGCTGCCGGTGTTCGCCGTCGCCAGGGCCGGACCGAGTCCACGAGGCCCTGGGCATTAGTAGTCTTGTGTTGTGGAGAACTGGAGACATAGCCCTGGGGATCTCAAGCTCTGTGTGATAATCAAGATCTTCTCAGTTAGCTTCTACACTTTCTTCTCAGTTAGCTTCTACACTTTGATCTTCTACTGCTGCTGCTGTTTAAATGTTTAATTTGTTCATTTTAGTATGGATAGTTTTTTTTTTTTGGCCCAAGTTGTCTTGGGTTCATTCTATGTGTAGGATGACAATAAATTGTAAGTTGTAAAGCATCAAAATTTGAGAGAGTTGGCTCACTAAATGTTCCGTGAAAATCTGTTAGGCATCAAGCATGTCTCTTATCTCTTATGCAACGAAAGATTCAGTAGAGAGGAGAAATATTTCATTGCACGGTTGCACCACATAGTAGGACTTGTCATTGTTTTTCTTCAACCAAGCATAGCTGCACAAGAGTCAGACAGTACACATACGTATATATACATACAGAGAAAACTCTGATATTGACTAAGTTAAAGGTATATATTCCAAGTTATGCCAGGAGCCACTTCTCATCGTGTTGAAGTAAGAAGCATTCATATCATGCTGACAAGAATGTAATTTTGATTTTCATTTCAGAAGAACAAAGCAACACGTGTGAGATACAGTTGGCAATCTAGATTGCTATGTGCCTTTAGTTTTTTTGGAAGACAACCATCTCCCCAGCTTTGGCCGAGTTCGAGTATCTCTCTTTTCGCAGGAGGATTGGATGGCATCCTCTGAATGTGTCCTACTGTTGCCCCTCAATCTAGAATAGGAGAACCAACCGCTAAAGAAGCCTCCCTTCTTGCGACTCTCTTCCATGCGCTCCTCATCGTGCTGATAAACATATAGCCCTTCCTCCAAAACACTAGTAGAATGCCTCGTGTCGATAAACTTATCACCATCATCTTCGCCGAGATCGTCCAACAAACTCCTTGACCTAGCACTGAAATCATCCAATGAAGTCCTTGACCTAACATAAGAAATCATTAGGAATGTCATCAATTCTGAACATCCAATAAAGTTGTACAAAATGGAAGATGTAGATCAAATAGACGAAAAGCCCTCAGGGGCGTTTGAAGCTCAGGGTACCTTCTGAGGGAAAGGGACTTGCAGGGTCTGTATTCAACAGAAAGATGCTGGGCAAAATGAACCTGCACAAAAGATTGAAGGCGGTAAACACAAGGAGAGTTATTTAGAATCATGACTCAATTTACAAAGGATTTCTTAAGACTCGAACAGATGTAATTAGTGGACATGCATGCTTGAATGTGCTTATCCAGTCAAACCCATGTGAGCTGTAAGAGTGGATCCTTTTCTTAGTTTAGTCGTTCTTTACACAAAACAGACCATGCAAGATCTCGGTAACCACCTAAATCTCTAAGACCAAGAAATAGAAGAGATCAAAAGTAGTGCAAGATTTTGCTGAATTAGATTTGCTCTTACCCTATTTCTGAAAACTGAAACAATAATTTGATGTGAGAGGACCACAAATGGCATCATGAAAAGTCAACAGGAATTCAGACAAATCAATGGTAGTACTTGACTAGAGAGCTTACCCACACGCAATAGTGTCTATTCTGAAAATTGCCTAATATCATAGGCATATCTTGTGCATGAACAAAGAAATTATGCCTATTTTTATTTGCAAATACAGCAATCTATCGTGTACTAATGTGTCACAATTGCATAAACATGACACATACTCAAGAAAAATAGGAGAATTAGTCGGCACTAAAGATTCATCCATGAGCCAATCACAAATAGAGATCATGCATATACCTCATCACCATCTCTTATACCAAATGCACGCAATGTTGCCTTGTCATCTGTCAATTTCTCGTCCTTGAAACATAAGCAAAAGTGGCTCCACACGTGCTGCCTAAAACAAGCAAAACAATGCTTAGTTACCAATATATCAACCCAACACACAGACTAAACTAAAAAAAATCTCAGGAACCACCGAAATCATTTTCACAAACCAAGATAGGAAACTATAATGAATATTAGAAATTCACAATGTAATGCAAAGAGGGGAAACTTTTTTTTTTCGCCGCATTTGTTGGTACATTTGCAAATCAAGATTGATGTGCATGCAGCCGTACCAAGAGATGGCCTTGTTGTCCGTTTCATCGTAGAGCGCGGCGAACACGTCCTCGATGGCCGCCTTGAGCTCCCACACCGCGGCTGACCTCGCGATTTGCACATCTACCCAAGCAGCAAGAAACGAACGAACACAGCAACGCGTCACCCCAAATCCAATGGGAGGGGATTCCATGGCAAGAAGGAAGAGAGCCGATTTGGTATACCGAAGTAGGAGTCGTCGAGCTTGCGGACGGTGAGGCGGAGGCGGCGCGGCTCGGGGAGGCGGCGGTAGGAGAAGCTGGTGCGGCCGCAGGCGAGGGCGGCGGCGATGCAGTCGGCGTCGGCGCGGGCGAAGTCGTCGAGGGCGCTCTCAATATCGCCGGCGGCGGCGTCGGGGGACGGCATCCCGCAGCATCGGCGGCGGAGGCCGACGAGCCAAGAGAGCAAGAAAGCGGTCGGCCGCAACAACCACACGAAATCCACTCCTCCAATCTTCGGTGAAGAAGAAGATGCAGCAGCCACCTCCTCCAGGATCAAAACTAGAGGAAAACTGGAGGAGAAATCTTTCCCCCTCCACCGATCGAGACCCGCCTCGCCCTTCCTGCTCCTCCAAGAACACAAACAAATAATAAATCCACCGATCAAGAAATCAAGAAATTGAAAAAAACAAGAATAAAAAAGAAAGAAAGAAATGGTATGTACATGAAGGCTGCTGCTCCACCGATCGGAGGAGGAGCAGCGGCGGCGGCGGGGGCGAGGAGAGAGAGATGGTTCCCCGTGGATTTGTTTGGAGGAGGAGGCGGTTGGGTTGTTGAGGGGGGAGGGGAAGGAGGAGGCCGCGTGCGGCGGCGCTGCGTTGGAAGCAGCGGTAGCCGTTGGAGGGGGATGAATGTCGTGCCGTTTCTGGGGTTGCGTGAGCTGGCCCGACGACACGGAGAGAGAGAGAGAGAGAGAGAGAGATTTTGGGCCGTTTCTGGGCTCCTGGCTCTGGTTGTGATGGGCCGAGGCCCAGTTGTATGGGCTCCCATATGGGCCTGATTGGGCAGTCCAAACTTGGTGGGCTGGATTTGGGTTGCTGCTGCCACCGCTTCAGCTCTCGGCCGCCCACACCGTCGCTCGAGCGTCCGTCCTCCCGACCCCGCTCCTTGTAGACGGGCTAAGGAGAGAAAGATAGAGATAAGGGAGGGAGAGAAGAATAAGGGTTGGAGGGAGGATGACATGTGGGCCCTACATGTTAGGGGTTCCATTATTTTTTTTGTGTGTAAACAATAAATAGACCTCACATATTTTTTTTAATTCTAAAGTCACATAAGCACCGTGTGGAATAAAATCTAGGTCAACATAATCACGTAAGCACCATGTCAGCGAAACTGTCCTCTAAAACCTCTGCCGGGGGGGGGGGTCAAATTACACTTATTTCAATTGTTCGAACAGTCGCCCTACCCGGTCTATTTAACTCAATGGGTAAAAATTAGATTCTGCCTGCTTAAGGAAGTTAAAGTGAACTTAAGAAAGTTAGTTTGAGGAGTTGTCCTACTCGTTTTTTTTAACAAATTTGGTCGTTGAGATCAAAGAGGAGGCAAGAACTTAGACCCTGACGGGAGCAAAGAGCCTTTGTGGCCTGGTCCCTAATGACTCGAGCTTTTTCTCTCTTTTTTTAAATATTCCGTATATGTTGCCTAGATTTTTCTCATGCTATATTCAATGAAATCGGGGTTGTCTTGTTCGTTAATAAAAAAAACGGTGGACTTTTTTCCCAATAATGGTAGCGGCCCACGTTTTGTGGGCCTTCATAGGTTGGGCTAGTAGCTGTTCACATTGACTGGGCCGATGGCCTGAGGCTACTGTTTCGCCTCGTTTTATCTTATCCACACAATCTTAATCGAACGGCGCCGCCGCCGCACGTCCCCCCTCTCGCCGTTCGCGCTGCTCCGCCGCCGCTTATGGCCGAATCGGCCTTCCATAGGATTCGAATTACAGACGCTTCGACGTCTATGCCCGATCCTTCAACGTTCATCTCCGACGACGGCCTCCGGCGAATTCGTGGCGCTCCGCCGCCGGAAATACAGAGATCGAGATCGGATGAGAACGGGAAGGGCTCAATCCAGCATGGATATGCATCGCGATTTCAATGGCTGAATTGTGAGAGACGCGGGCACAGAAAGGCAGGCGATTATGTTTGTAGAAATTTGTTCCATTTTGAATGACGTGGTTAATATATAAGTATGTTAAAGATTTTCTATAGATTTGCTTGTGATCGAAGATGAACTGAACAGAGGAAGAGGCATCCTCTGCTTTCATGAAGGAGATCGATGAACACTGAAGATTGAACAATACCGATATATTAACAACAACATTTTGGAGATATCAGCTAGGAGAATCACACTCTAGCAACAATTCTACATGACATTTTCCATCTTGTTTTCAACCTTTTTTTCCCCTCTTCTCGATACAGAGCAAGCAATGCAAAATGCAAGAACCAATCAACAGAGCTACGTAGTCAGTTAAGAAGATGATGATGATGACGATGAAGATGGTGCAGCCATGGCAGCCTTGTTTTCAGTGGCCGAGGATGGTCATGTGGGTGTCGAACGACGGCAGCTCGTCGTCGTCGCCGTCGTCTCCGGTGAGGGACGGGAAGGACGGCAGCCGGACGCCGAACCCCCCTTCCTCCTCCTGGTTCTCCGGATCGTGGCGGTCGTCGTGCCGGCACGTCTTGTCCTTGAGCGGGTTGCACCCGTGCCCCTTCGACGGCGCCGGCGCCGCGGCGGCGGCGTCCTCCTCGTCGGCGGCGGCGGCGTGGCCGCTGGCGTGGCCGGCGCGGGCAGAGCGGACGGCGATCGCGCACGCCACGAGCACCGCGGCGAGCACCCACACGCGCGTCGACGCTGCCATGGCGGCCCTAGCTTCGCAACAATATATACCAAAGCTTTCCTCGGAGATGTCAATGCGATGCGCGGCGCGATCGAACACGGCACGACGACGACGACGACGGCGAGAGGGAGAGGAGGATATAAAAGGCGGCGATGGAGGTGCCGGATTTAGGCATGGCGAAGGGTTGGTCGGTGTCGCGGCAGTTGCGCCATGCGTGTGTGGCTGAGCTCCGTCTTCACGGTTACATTGGGACCGGGTGTTGAGGAGAATATATACTTTACATTGTTAATCAAGAACAATAATGTCCTCTCAAAATAAATAATTATGAGCAAATGATTCTGCTATAGTGAAAATCTCTAGGATTTACTCATTGCTCAATAATCTTGTGTCAAAAATACAAGGGAGGTATAGAGTTAAGTACAGTAGTTTACAGGGCACACTTCATACCTAGACAATTCACATAATATGCGTTCGCGAAAAAGAAAATTCTCAGAACATGTCGTCTGTTTAGCTATCTCAAATAGATTCATACTCCTATGTATTTGGACATTCATCATGTCAAGATATATAGTTAGGATTTGTCTTTTTTTTTTTGAGATGGGGGAGTATAAACTGCTACATCCGTTTCAGGTTATAAGATGTTTTTGACTTTTGTCAAAGTCAAACTGCTTCAAATTTGACTAAGTCAGTTTGACTAAGTTTGTAGAAAAAATAATAACATTTTCAATCCAAGATAAATTTATTATTAAAATATATTCAATTATTGATTTAATGAAACTAATTTGGTATTATAAATATTAATATATTTGTTTATAAACTTTGTCAAATTTAAAGTAGTTTGACTTTGACCAAAGTCAAAACATCTTTGTCGGTGACATGGGACCGGGGATATCTTGACTAGAGGTTTGGGGCAGCCGCGGTCACCCACGTGGCCTGACCCCCTCGGGGGGGTCGGGCCCGAGGGTGATGAGGCCGCCCCTCCCTCTATCTCCCTGAGGGGTCGGGCCGCTCCCGTTTCGTCCCCGAGGGCTGGGGCGCCCCGACCCCCTGAGGGTTTGGCGCCACGTGTGTGGGTTAGGTGAGCACAGCGGCGCTCACCTAACCGCGTTTATTGCGGGTTGGACGAGCGCCCCACACCGCATTTAATGTAGCGCAGCACACTCATCCGGTCCGTGATCGGTCGCAGTGTGTGACCGGTCACAGACCGGTCAGATCGCGGGTTAGGGGGCAACAGGCGGCCTGACACACGCCTCGCCCCGTCCCATCGGAATGATGAGAGCCTCCAGGCACTCGTCCCTAGCCGGAGCCGGCGTGGGAACTCCTGGAGTTGGCACGTCAGCCCCGGCCAGATACATTCCAGGCTTCATCGCAACCATTGTAAGGAAATCATTGTATGAAGAAGGGCAGACGTGTAGCATGCTAAACTGACACGTGGTGGACAAGAATGACCGGTCTGTGACTGGTCTGATGCCGGTCGCGTCATCGGCAAACAACCGTGCTTCCACGTTGTACCTGCTTCCGGCGGAGTGGAGGTTGGTATGACCCATCCCATCGGAGGGTCATTCGGACAGCAGCCATTGCAAATCTCCGCCCATTAATGAGGGAGGACAGGGTTATCCCGGTGTCAGGCAAAAGTACGAGCCAAGTTTTGGTCAAAGTAGGATGGGTCCCCACCCAAAAGAAGGGTAGGTAGAAATGGTGTATGTGGTATCCCCTTGAGAGATAAAAGGAGGACCATGCCTACCAAGAGAGGGGACGGAAAAAAAGACTGGAGAAGACCTGAGCTCGTAGAGGGGACTGGGGAAAAAGAGTAGGGAGAGGGTCTCTAGAGTTTGAACTCTCTTGCTCTCCAGCTCTTTGTAACTCCTTCATACACAGATCCACCAGAACACAGGAGTAGGGTATTACGTTTCTCAGCGGCCCGAACCTGTCTATATCGCCCGTGTCTTGCGCATTTGCTCTCTCGCGAACCATTCCACAGATCAAGGGCTTAGAACCTCACCCAGCGCCCCTGGCCGAACCGGCAAAGGGGGGCCCGCGCGGTCTCCCGGTGAGGAGCCCCACGCTCCGTCATCTGGCGCGCCAGGTAGGGGGCGCGTGTGTTTTTCTAAGCCCTCGTTCTCTTTCGTGTGCGCCAAGCTTCTCCCGCTCAGCCCAATGGCCGAACGGGCAGTGGCGCACAACCTCTCTCCGAGCGCTAGCGGTGACGACAGCGAGCAGAACCCGCGTCGTCGAGCTCGTACTCCACCGCCCCCCTCTCGCCGAAGTCTTAGGCGGGAGGAGGCGCTCGAGGGGGACGAAAGATCCGCGACTTCGCCGCCCACGAGCGATGGAGAAGGACGGCGAGACGGGGAGCGTCGCCTCCTCGTCTACGGCGATGGCAGCACGCCCCAGGGCGCGCTCCAGGCTGCGGGCGCGCTCCTACGTCACCCGCCCGTCGTCCCTGATCCAGAGACTCCAACCCGACGTTGGCTAGATGATGTGGCCAACTTGGTCATGACGGCGCAGCAGCGCCTAGGCGCCGGCGGGCGGTCCTCCGCCACCAAGGCCACTAGCGCTGCTACTGCCGGCTCCGTGTCGTCGAGGCGGAGGGCGCGGCGAGCGGCGGCCGTTACCCACCGTTCGTCCGCCATTCCCTTGTCAATGCCTCCGACCCAAGAAGATGTGCGTGAGGGGCCGGATGCCCGCCTCAATATCGAGCGCCGGCGCAATGATCGCCGTGCTGCCCACGCATCGGAGGGCGCTTCCTCGTCCGGAGCGCCACTTCGGTCCGGGCGCGGGGGCCAGCCCCCCGTGTCCCCGGTTGGCGGTGCCGGCTGTCGAGCCTTTGTGGCGAGCCTTCGGAACGTCCGTTGGCCCCCAAGGTTCCGGCCCACCATCACCGAAAAATACGACGGAAGCGTCAACCCCGCCGAGTTTCTCCAGATCTACACGACTGGGATCGAGGCCGCCGGGGGTGACGACAGGGTCATGGCGAATTTCTTCCCCATAGCCCTGAAAGGACAGGCGCGGGGTTGGCTAATGAACTTGCCACCCGCGTCGGTCCACTCTTGCGAGGATTTGTGCCAGCAGTTCACCATGAACTTCCAGGGCACATATCCGCGCCCAGGTAAAGAAGCGGACTTACACGCGGTACAGCGAGGGGACGATGAGTCTCTTCGCTCGTACATTCAGCGGTTTTGTCAAGTCCGCAACACCATACCGTGCATCCCTGCACACGCGGTGATCTACGCGTTCAGGGGGGGCGTGCGACACAACCGCATGCTCGAGAAGATCGCCTCCAAGGAGCCCCAGACCACTGCGGAGCTTTTTCAGCTCGCGGACCGTGTGGCTCGCAAGGAGGAGGCATGGACCTGGAACTCCTCCGGTTCCGGTGTGGAAGCTCCGGCCGCCCCCGGGCCCGCTGCTCGGTCAGGGCGACGGGACAGGAGGAGGAAGAAGAGATCGGCCCATTCCGACGACGAGGGTCACGTCCTCGCCGTCGAGGGCGCTTCGCGGGCCACCCGAAAGGGGAGGCCTGCGAGCGACAAAAAGAAGGAGGCCGGCGCTCCCAGTAGGGAGCGCCCGACCGGCAAGTGGTGCACCGTGCACAACACCTCCCTCCACGACCTCGCGGACTGCCGTGCGGTCAAAAGTTTGGCTGAGCGGACAAGGAAGTGGGAGGAGGAGAGGAGGCAGGAGCGCCGTGAGAGCAAGGCCCCGGCGGCTCCCTCCGGCAACCGGCGAAGTGAGGCCAAGCAGAAGGCCCCCGCCGAGGATATTGACGATGGCGACGATGACCTAGGGTTCCAGGAGCCTGGGGCCACCATCGCCACCGTCGATGGGGGAGCATGCGCTCACGCTTCTCGTCGGAGCCTCAAGGCCATGAAGCGAGAGCTTCTGGCCGCGGCCCCTACCCATGAGGCGATGCGGCGGGCGCGGTGGTCGGAGGTTGCCCTCACCTTCGACCAGACCGACCACCCGCCGTGCGTTGCCCGGGGAGGACAGATCGCGATGGTGGTTTCCCGCACCGTTTGCAACGTGAAGTTGGGGCGTGTCCTCATAGATGGGGGTGCAGCCCTCAACATCCTTTCCCCCGTAGCCTTTGATGCCATCAAGGCCCCGGGGATGGTGCTCCGGCCGTCCCAGCCGATCATCGGTGTGACGCCGGGGCACACTTGGCCGCTAGGTCATATCGACCTCCCGGTCACCTTCGGCGGTTCCGCCAACTTCCGCACGGAGCGGGTGAACTTCGATGTGGCGGACCTCAGTCTGCCCTACAACGCGGTCCTGGGGAGGCCCGCGTTGGTGAAGTTCATGGTGGCGGTCCACTACGCCTATCTCCAGATGAAGATGCTGGGCCCCGGTGGCCCCATCACCGTCCATGGCGACCTCAAAGTCGCGCTTGCTTGCATGGAGCAGCACGCGGACCACCTCGCCGCGGCATCCAAGCCCGCGGGTGGCGACGAGAGGCTCAGCACCTCCGTCCCAGCCGCCCCGAGGCAGCGGATGATCACGTGCGACGAGGTCCCGATCAAGCAGGTTGCCCTGGGCGACGGCCCGTCCAAGACCACACGAATCGGTGGTCTTCTGGACGACAAATAGGAAGACACGCTCGTCTCCTTCCTGCGGGCAAACGCCGACGTCTTCGCCTGGAGACCGGCGGACATGCCCGGGGTCCCCAGGGAGGTGATTGAGCACCGTCTCGCCGTACGGCCTGGCGCAAGGCCGGTCCGGCAGAAAGTGCGGCGGCAGGCCCCGGAACGTCAAGCCTTCATCCGCGAGGAGGTGGCGCGACTTCTGGAGGCCGGATTCATCCGAGAGGTCATCCATCCGGAGTGGCTGGCGAACCCGGTCATCGTTCCCAAGGCGAACGGCAAGCTTCGGATGTGCATCGACTACACCGACCTTAACAAGGCATGTCCTAAGGACCCTTACCCCCTACCACGCATAGATCAGATTGTCGACTCCACCGCGGGGTGCGACCTTTTGTGTTTTCTAGATGCATACTCTGGTTATCATCAGATTCGCATGGCTAGGGAGGATAAGGAAAAAACTGCATTCATTACCCCCATAGGAACTTATTGTTATACGACAATGCCTTTCGGGTTAAAGAATGCAGGTCCTACTTTTCAACGTACTAC